GCTGTGTATATTCCTGCTGGGCTTTACACACCCTCTTGCCACCTTCTAGGAGAGACAGGCTTGATGTTACATAATAGGAAGGCGATAATACCAAAGGATTTCCTGAACAAGAGACTGTCTACAAATAATTATCCCATACCTGTGCATTGTAAACATTTAAAGGAAAAGAGCAATAGGACCCCGTCCCCATCCCCTGCAAGAAATTGGTGTTTTGTTGTTTAAGCCATTGCTCAGAAGCACTGCCTCATGTTCTTTGGCAAGATGCAGAAGAGTAGGAGAATTGTTGAGGCTTTTCACACACACACCCCTCCCTTAACAGCAGTGCTTCCTTTTATCCAGGAAGCTGTCAGATAGCTTCATGGTTCCTATCTAAACAATCTCTCTCTCTCTCTCTCTCTCTCTCTCTCTCTGTGTGTGTGTGTGTGTGTGGTTGTTCAGCATATGTAACTAATAGTCAAAGAACACCAAAGAAGTTGCAAGTCTGGTCGGCTTTTATAAGTTTCATAAATGATATTTGGGACTTCAGTCTTTTCAGTGCAGCTTTAAGCATGGATTCTGTTCCATTCTCCTTATTCCCAGAGAAGTGGATGTAAGATTGCAACCTTAGAATGTATCATTCATTTTTGAATATATCTTCAGTAGTACACCATAGCAAAATGTAGTGCAGAGGTTGTGCCATTCCATACGTTGAATTTGATCACCTTATTTGGGTCAACGATACGGAACCTGTGAATCTCCAGGTGCTGTTGCATTCCCAGTTGCCATCAACCCAAACCAGCAGAGCCAATGGTCAGGAATTGTGGGAGCTATAGTCCAATAACATCTGGAAGGTCACAACTTGCCACCCCTCTTGGCTACTGTCTTTGGATGTTTTATTGACTGTAGTATGCAGCTTGGTACTTTTTGCAATTTAATCAGCCCAAGGCCTGGTTATGGAGAAATGTTTTCACCTGGTGCCTAAAGATATGTATGTAATGAAGGTGCCAGGAAAGCCTACCTGGGGCATAGCTGTCAAGTGTCCCTTATTTGAAGGGACTGTCCCTTATTCCAGTGCCATGTCCCGGCTGCTGTCCCTTATTGATGGATGTCCCTTAAATGTCCCTTAAATGATGTCCCTTAAATTTCAAAGGAAGCAGCTCCTCTCCCTCCCTCCCTGCCGGCGAGAGAGGAGGGAGGCTCCAACTGTGTTGCTTGGCTGTGTTGCTCACCCAATAAGAAGTCTAAGAACGACTGGGGGATGGAGCTTGCATGCCTTGTGTGTGGCTAGTTAATGCAAGCTGAGGAGGTTTTTGAATGCTGGACGACATTTTGTTGCACGTGCTGCTGCAAACTTTGCAGTGCAAAGCCAGGCTGGGGAGCCATCTTAAATTGAGGCTGCATAGGCCTTGTGGTGCATGTGATTCATGTGGTTACAAAGTTGGTTGGACAGTGTTCTTGAAGCTACCAGCATAAGTTTGACCAGACTGCAGGAGGACAGGAAGACTGGAGTGCCTGGAACAAGTGAGGCTGCAGGTCCCTTATTTTGGCTGCTGGTCCCTTATTTTCAAGGCTGCTGGTCCCTTATTTTCAAATCTGTAAGTTGACAGCTATGACCTGGGGACAACAAATGTTGTAAACCCTGAGATTAGTACAGATGATCTTTTGTTCCTCTCATACTTCAGAACATTTAGTATACCAGCTGATTGTGGGGCATTGCATATAATACAAATTACTGTTGGAATTAGTGCATTTAGTTGCTTTTGAGGAGGCCATATTTTGTTCATGGACATGAACAATAAGTATGCCAGTTCTAGTTTTAGGTCTTCATCAATTTTTTTGACAAAAATGTATGTAAATTGCACTCATGTTCCACACTTTGTACTGAAGCTGAATGCCTCATAAATGCTTGGCAGGATTCAACATAAAAATGACCTGTACATACTAGAAAAGTTGTCAATAGTACTGGCTTGAATTAATGGGTCTTTTATGTCAGTCTCCGATGAAGATAGTCCATACAAAGTTAATAATTTTGCCTGTATAAGGGGGCTCACATATCATGATTGCCTTGTTTGTCAAAGGATCAGAATAATTTGTCCTCTCAAAATTGTCCATTTCCTGTGAAAATCAAATAGCTGACAAAAGGCTACACACACATGTCAACACCTGCCTTCCAATGAATTCACTCTGCTTAGGTTATTCCAATGTCATTTGTGCCTGGAATTTGTCATGTTTTGTTTGTGAGACAATGTATATCAAATGTCTTGTTTATAAAGTGCAATCATTTTATTGCATTAAATTGTCTTTTCCCATTATACTGCTGTCAAAAAATGATGATAGATATAAACCATCAAACATGGCAAAATTTTGTTTTCATTAGGAAGCATTTCAATTGTGTCTCTGTGTTGCTTCTTAATCTTCTTACGTGTAACCTCTAGGAGTTGCAGGGAAGATGAGAAACACTCCGATTGCCTGACTGCTTTGTATTTCCTCTCCTGAGATTTTTCCGCTGCTTCTAGCCAGCTTAAAATAATCTTTACACAAACAAATCTATTCCTTTGTCTTACTTAGCCTTATCTATCAAGCCCATTTCAAGAGCTGGGATACGAACAAAATAATGATATGCATTGTTGAGGTGCTGCAAGCTACTGAAAGGACTGAGATGCTAATGTGTTTGATACATTGGAAAATGAAGCACAGACAACAAACTGGCACTGTGTCAGTCTTTCTCATGAAGTTTCAAGAAGCAGTTTTTCAGTGTAACTGAATTTAGGAACCCGCAACAATTAGAATTTGTAACTAGCTTAAGTGTGTGTGTGTGTGTGTGTGTGTGTGTGTGAGTGAGAGAGAGAGAGAGAGAGAGAGAATTTGTCTGTATAGCAGAACTGCCTTTCTGTTTTGTAATAAATCCTGTCTTTAATTTCCTTCCCAATTTGGAGTCTGTGTTCTGTTCTCATTTTCTCCCTTCTATTGGTGTGCAGGGCAATGTTACCATGGTCTGCCATGACAGCATTCTCAAGATCTTAGCAAAAATATACCTTAGTGTGACATACATATGTACACTTGTGGGAGTGTGGGAGTCCTGTACCTCAGTGATAAAGCACCTGTTTTGCATGCAGAATGTCCCAGGTTCAAAACACAGTGTCTACAGGTAGGGCTAGGAAAAACTGCTGCCTTAAACACTGCCCATCAGAGTAATAACACTAACCTAGATGGACCAGTGTAATGACTCGGTACAGTGGTACCTCGGGTTACATATGCTTCAGGTTACAGACTCCGCTAACCCAGAAATAGTACCTCGGGTTAAGAACTTTGCTTCAGGATGAGAACAGAAATCGTGCTTCGGTGGCACGGCAGCAGCAGGAGGCCCCATTAACTAAAGTGGTGCTTCAGGTTAAGAACAGTTTCAGGTTAAGAACAGACCTCCAGAACAAATTAAGTACTTAACCTGAGGTATGAGGGGCGCCTTCATCTTCTTGTTTCATATGCTGACCTTTGTGGGTAGTGTGTATTCCAAACACCTATTGCTGCATTTAAATAGTTTCCAATGAAATAGCCTATGTTCCTGTTTAACAGCTTTTCTTCGAAAGTGACCTAGTTATAGCCTAGCACCCCTTAACGCAGCACTTGGCAGCATGCTAGATTTAGGGAACGCTGGAAATAGGCACATGTATATTCATGTAGAAATAAACCATATTTATGTAGAGAAGAACCACGTTGTGTTGTTTTATTGCACTTCACTCTCTTTGGGGGGTTTGAGAGACTTTAGTGCTTATGAAAATGAGAGATTTACTATCCTGGCTTGTTCAGAGCACAGTGCTGACAGTTGCTGTGCTTTACCTAATCTTTACACCTTTGCAAAGACATTTTGCTTCTAACTTATGGCATCCTGGCTGTTTAAGTTCTGGCTGCCTATGTCTCCCCCGAGCTGGAGCTGTCAGGTTTGTGTTAGATTGTATGGTGGCCTGGGGAGCTAGACAGTAATGAGACCACCAAGCTGGGGACTCTTATTTGACCACCAAAATAAATTCACATCTCTACCAATCTAAAAGGTAAAAACAATACTCCCGTGTGTGTAAGCATACACATGAGTTTGCTAAAAATCTATGACATTCTTGGTACAATCATATACTAAAGGAAATTCGTGTGCTCAGGGTAAGTGTTACTCCCTGCTTCCAGTACACTTCCACTCTGTCAAAGACTGGGCTTCTTATGGGCAACTGAAAAGGGAGTAAGCCAAGGGAAGGCACTCATGCCCTTTTTCTACCATGCTCATTGATGAAAATTTGTGGGACAAAATTACTACTCAGTTTCAACAGAACGCTCATCTAAAGTGAAATCTTAGCTAAATGCAAAAAGGCAGGGCAAAAGATCTTACAGGCTACTGAGGGAAACTAAATGGATTTGGTAAGTCTTGTCAAATTTCTTGGGGTTTCTCTCTGTGTGTGCTCACACATGCACACGCACACATGCTTGCAAAGATGGAAATAATCTTAAGGTCATAGAAAGAACTGGAGCAGTGGAATCTCCAAGCAGTAATTTATGCTATTAGCATCAACATTAACACCATTAGACCGACAGTTAACAGAAGTAATGCCCAGAATTAAATACGCTGTCTACCTCCCTTATGAAGGTTGGAAATTTCAGCCTGTGTTTTTGTTTCCATTAAGAGCAAAGATTATCTTTGGAGCTTAATGTCTTTTCAACATCAGGTGTGAGTTCTGGCTTATGCAAAAATATAATAGCAAAACCCAGATCTGAGTATATTCAATATTAACTTCCATCATCATTAACCATGGCATAGCTGCCCTCTTACCTATTTGCTCCTATGACAGCTGGGTTTATTGAAATACTTCTAGGAACCACACATCCAAATTTAATGATGTGGAAATTTTCACTATTAATGCAGCATGACCATTGTGCACTGGTGTTTGGTTAATGTTCAAATTAGAATCATAGAATTGTAGAGTTGGAAGGGACCGCAAGGGTCATCTAGTCGAAGCCCCTGTGATGCAGGAATCTTTTGCCCAGTGTGGGGCTCAAACCCATGACCCTGGGATTACGAGTCTCATGCTCTACTTACTGAGCTATCCCAGCGCTCATGTAAATTGAGATGTAAATTCAGATGTTGGGCTGAACCTTTTGAAGGATCTTTCCTTTCCCTTTTTTGTCATCTCAAAGGGGAGTGGTGGTGAAGAGAGGGCTGGGTGTGATTGAATTTCTCTGAAGTGTTCAAGAGTGTGGAGATTCTGCCTTTACCTTAGTTTCACAGTAAAAGCCCTATGTGCACACACAGAGTCACTTAGCTCTCTGTGCTCTGGCTTGCAACTAGAGATGGGTTATTGTGGCTGCAGTCACACGGCAGATCATCCCATTTTCATGATGTTTCCCTAACTCGTGTGTGTGTGTGTGTGTGTGTGTGTGTGTGTTCCTTTAAAGCAAGTGGTTCATGTGTTGATAACTTTCTTATACATCCTTGGAATACCAGTTCAATTTCACAGCTTTATGGAGCAAATGCCAAAATAATAGTTATCCTTAAAATTAAATATGTGAGATGAAGTTGTTGTTAACAGAAGAGATTGAAACATATATGTGAGGAGCTTCAGGTGCATTTTTTTATTGCATCAGTTAGAAAAATGTTGACTGTGGCACCCTGCTGATAAGAAGATAGAAGGGCAACACTGTCTCAATTACTCACATATTCTTACAGTTGAGAAGTGTTCAGTCTACTAGTCAATTAAGCAGCAGAGAGCATATTTTATTGATTGTAAGAGTCAGATTCTCGGTACAATGTAAACTATAAAAAGATACCTTTGTAGAGTATAATGAGACCCTGCCGATTTGCTTTCAAAACATCCAGAAGACCTATATTCAGTAATTTTTCCATTGTTTTCTTCCTCCACTACAAGTTTGATACCAAACTTGAATGGTATCTACTTGAACAATCCTCTACACCAACCTAAGATCATAACAATAAAGCTGGATCAGACCAAAGATCCATTTGTTCCTGCTTTCCACAATGATAAACAAAATGCTTCTAGAAAGACTACAAGCAAGTATTGAAGAGGAAGGGAAGGAAGGAGAAGACCTCCTTACTGCAAGCTGTCACCACTGTTCCCACCAACCCTTGTCAGGGGAGTAAAGAGGGCACTGTGTTTTATGAGTGGTGGCTGCTGTTGGGGAGGGCTTTGTGGTCAGCAAGGACCACTGAGGACAAGCCAGGGAAGCCAGTGTAAATAACTATTGGTTCAGCCAGAAAAGTGACAGGCGTCTTCTAAGAGTGCATGTGGCAGAATTCATCACTGTTAAAATCGATTAAGCAATGCCCTCATTTGGCAAATCTGGATTTTTGAGACAAAGAATACTGTCCTCTGTATTTCATTCTAAAAACTCACCTCTTATAAAAAAATAAATAAAATAATAGTGAACTAATAAAAGCTTGCCTCCATGTAGTGTCCAGTGGGTGTTTAATCCAATTAATGAGGGTTACTGCCATTTTCATAACCCAGTGAAATGTGTTTATAAAAACTAACAATGGCCAATTGTTAATATCCAGGAGTTAATTGCAATTTACTGTTCTTATAAATATAAGTAACAAGGTGTTTTCTACACTGTTTAATTAACAGACAAGGAAAAATAAATGTTCGGCATGCTGCTATCATATGCCCCAGGCATGTCTGACACTATCAATTAGCTGAATATTTTTAAACATAAACACTGGGGGAATAAAACTAGAGCAATGTGGGATGCTCATATATATTTTTCCTCTGATCATTGATCATTTACAAATATTTTTTTGTGATCCACTTGTTCTTTATCTTCTAATTAGTGTTGATGTCCATTCCCCGTGTTTATTTATTATGGTATTTATAGCCTCCTTTCTGACAAGGACATCAAGGTGATATATATGTTTCTCCATCCATACCCATCCAATCTTCAGAGCAACACTGTGAGATAGGTTGGGTTGAAAGATAGTGACGAATCCAAGGTCTGTTTGAAACTGAGGGTTGTATCCAACACTATGCAAATGTTTCATCAATGCAAGGATTTCTGCTTCTGCAGTGGAATGTTCTCCTCCTCTCTTTTCCCTGTGCCCCCTAAATTTGTCCTAGGGGTTTCCCCAACCCTCTGGAGCAGTTTTGTGGAGTGTGAGGTGAATGCTGGGGAATAATTCTCGTGCACGTAGAAATTCTTATGCCAAACAAATATGAAATTAACTCAAAATCAGATTGCAATTCTAGCTTGGTTTGCTACACACTACCCAAACTGGAAGGTGCTGCTTTCCAAAGGACTCTGCTCTCAGTAATGTGCAGAATGCAAGTTGACTACTTTAGAGGATGGATGGGAATCTGCAACCCTTCTTCATGTTGTACTATAATACCTGTCATCCCCAATATCAGCCACACTGCATGGTGCTGATGGGAGTTGGTCTGGAGGTTCAAAAGTTATTGACCACTGCTTTGTTGTTGTTTAGTCGTTTAGTCATGTCCGACTCTTCATGACCCCATGGACCAGAACACGCCAGGCACTCCTGCCTTCCACTGCCTCCCGCAGTTTGGTCAAACTCATGCTGGTAGCTTTGAGAACACTGTCCAACCATCTCGTCCTCTGTCGTCCCCTTCTCCTTGTGCCCTCAACCTTTCCCAACATCAGGGTCTTTTCCAGGGAGTCTTCTCTTCCCATGAGGTGGCCAAAGTATTGGAGCCTCAGCTTCAGGATCTGTCCTTCCAGTGAGCACTCAGGGCTGATTTCCTTAAGAATGGATAGGTTTGATCTTCTTGCAGTCCATGGGACACTCAAGAGTCCCTGCTTTAGATCAGTGCTTTAGAACCATATAATTGTCTTGATGCTCTCTGATAATGAACCGTGAGAAAATAGATATCATCATTTCAAATGTCTTCTGGTACCTAGGTGACTGTGATATGTTAACAGAATCAACATTGTATTTGATTGTATCTGAGCTATATAGAATCCAGGCCACTGAAGGAGTTCTCTGATTGCTGTATCACATACCCAGCACACAAATTCAGCATATATTTATCACAATACTTCCATTGCAGTATCTTGATAAATAGGCTGAGCAGTAGTTCTGCAAATATCAGTGGATTTGCATATGACTATGTCATATTGTGTCATGGAACTCACAGATTCATTCAAAGGAAAAGGGCATTTCTGAATGTACCATCCTTCAAGAATTTTTCTGAGGATCTCTATTTAAGCTTTTGTGCCTTTTCTTAAATACAGTGTGTTAGCACACATATGACTCTCTCCTAACACATCTTGTTGCAAAATGATGTTAAAAAAAAAATCCAGTTAAAAAGGCTAGAGGGACAAAAGGTGGCCTGAAAATCCAAAGGGAATGTAAGTTAATAAAGGCAGAACAGAAGGTAATGCCACAATGATGTTATTCAGCTATTTTCAATCACTAGCTTATGTTCATTAGACCACAATGGGCAATGAAAGCTACAGCAAGTAGCATAATTCTGAAAACTCTTAATTAATCACATCAATGTTATTACAACTGGGAACATCTTTCCCCGTTTATGAGTTTGCTACATGCATTTTGATGAGAACTACAGCAAAGTGTCAACCGCGGTTGCTAATTTTTTTTGGGGGGGGGGATTCCATTTACAGGTCATGTTAGCCACACTCTGCCCAGCAGCCCTAATGCTGAGATGGAATACAAAGTGGGAAAGGGGTGAGTCTAGCAAACTCCCAGCGCAGTTCATGGGAGAGGAGAGGAATTAGAAGCCAAATCCTGGGACCTTATGGCAAAAGGCAGGCGAGAAATCTAATTATTATTAATAATAACAACATCCACTGCTTTTGCCATAGTATTACAGTGGTACCTTGGGTTACATATGCTTCAGGTTACATATGCTTCAGGTTACAGACTCCGCTAATCCAGAAATAGTGCTTCAGGTTAAGAACTTTGCTTCAGGATGAGAACAGAAATTGTGCTCCGGCACCGTGGCAGCAGCAGAAGGCTCCATTAGCTAAAGTGGTGCTTCAGGTTAAGAACAGTTTCAGGTTAAGAATGGACCTCCGGAATGAATTAAGTACTTAAGTACTTAACCTGAGGTACCACTGTACTGCTATTGCCATAGCATTACTGTGGGAGAAAAAAGCAAGAGTAGATAGTGTATACAATATGGAAATCCTACCACACTCATGTGTCACCATTAGAGAGCTGTGTGGAAAGCGCCTCTTGAAATTCCCCACCCTACTTTTGGGTAGAAAAACTGGGGCAGAGGAACTTCCCGCTACGTGAAGAAGCAATTCTATAGCAGTTTCTCTGGGGTGTGGTTCATTCTACGCAGAACTGATAGCACAGCTTCTTGAACCACCATCCCAAGGTCCCCGCACCCCAGCCACTGCACTTGGCAGCCTCAGCAACTGAGTTGTCAGCCTGGTGACCATTTTTACATACTTCCCAATGCCCTTGTTCTTCGAGGACATTATGCGTTGTGGAAGGAAGAGAATCCTCAAGTGCCACAAAGAAGAACGGAGAAGAGCATTCACAGAAAATTCTGCAAAGTGGCTGTCCCTTTCTAGGAAAGTTAGAAACAGAAAAATCTCAAAAAAGTCCCAGAAAAAAAAAAGTATTCTGAGAAATTTGACTGTAGCTATAGCCACCATGTTTTTAAAAGACGGGCGCATGTTTAGGTTGTTAACCATGCCCGATACATATTTATTTATTAGCATTTTGTGCAGTAGGAAAGCTCCAATATTCCCCTCTTCTGTTGCTCAGCACCATCCCAGCAGAGAGATTTGCCTAAATAGCACAATTTACCCCACTATAGTGATAAAGTTATCTTTACAAACCCATCTTCTGTTAGAAATAATTCATTAAGCCCTCAATATTCTTGTAATTTTTATTATTATGTTTTAATGCTTCCTCAAGGGGAGGGAAAAACATTATGTCCTTGTGTTTCCATAATTACATTTGTTTTAAAATCGCACACAAGAAAAAAAAATCCCCCTTCAATTATTACAATGTATCAGAGGTTTAAGACAGAAAGATAGATAAGCTAGAACAAAGGAGTCATGATTTTAAAAGCTGTGATAAATAACAGACATCAAATTAAGGACACTCA